ACAAAGGAAAGATTTTCGGAGCGCAGAAAATAACCTATCAGGAACATGGGAACAAATAAGCGGGTGATAATGGATGATCCTAGTCCACCGGTGCACAGGAGACCATTATCCCGCGGAACGCACCCCCGGATCTTTCCGTAGTTAAAATGAGTTAAACGTTCTCAATCACCCAATCCACCAACACCCACCCAGACCTGAGATGGCAGTCGAGAGTTTCGGGTCCGGGATAGGACGTGCGGGCATCGCCCCCCTCATTCCGGACAACTATCCCACGCCGACCGATAGGCGGTAACCGTGATGCCCAACCGGGGTTCGCAGTTACCTTATTGGCAATAATCCCCCGATGCGATAACATTTTGAGAAGATGGACGCCATTACCTAGCCACATAGTACTGGCCATCTGGGGGGGAGGGGGAGGGGGACGACTACCGTTTCACAGGAGTGTACGGACCCCCCGTAAGTTTTGGGCTTTCCGGAATGTAGGACTGACGTAGATATGATAACCGGTGATCACGAGTATACCACACAAAGTGCCATCACGTTGATCGGGGGTTTGTTATTTCCGGAACTTGGAATCGCGGGGAAGACCGCTTCGCCCACCGGGTATACTAAGGGTTCAAGAGGTGCAATCGGCCACAATTGTGTTCACGGGCATAATCACGGGTCTTATAGTGGTATGCTGGAGCGTCAGGCGCTCTCAGGAGCTTGGAAATGCGTAGCCTGGTGCTTTGGGTTTATTGAAAGAGCCCTGGCAGGGGCAGAGGAAGCCACTGTAGAAACAAACCAGCTTGTGGCAATGGAGGGCTGTGTAATTCAAGCCACTGGTGTTGCTGGTACCGAGCACCACTATCTGGTTTAGTTTCCAATCGTACTATGGGTTACGATTTGTTAGGCTAAAATTTTACTGCACACAATAGTTGGGAATGAGAGCTCTTTCGCAAGCGGTTGTTTTCTGCAACTTTCCTCTTGGGGCGCTAGATTTCAAATATGCTCTGGACGGACTTTCTGGTAGACCTGAATACTAGGAATTGTATTCTCGTTCACTCCCTTTCGCTTGAGCGGTTACGTTGTAACTATATACCACTAAATTTTTTTACGGGAGGATAAGGATGAACTTCTACCGGCCATAGACCATATTAGAGGTCCAATCTCAATCATGTTGCTATGTGCGGGTTATCCAAGGTCCGGAATCCAAAATCTGCTGACATCAGCGGGGCTACTTATTGATCACCGCAGCCGATTCTATATCAGTGTGTTCCCGCCCATCAAGAGTAATCCCCTATGATACAATGTGGGACAGTGGGAGATCCCTGCAGATCTTAGAAGCTATTCTAAAAGAAATTTTAAATAGGGAGAGAGTAGGGGGAATAAGTCGACTGAGAGCAACATGATAAGTTGCCCGGTCGTCGAGAGATAGTAAATGACTTAGAGAGGTAGAGGGGAATCAGCAGAAAATCGAGAAAAGTGGAAAGCACAGGTTAAGCGACATAAATTACCACGGGACTTGCGGTAATTTATGGTCAATTGTGTAGGCATGATTCTCGCGTTTTGCCGGCCGGATCCGTGAGTGTTTGTGCAAACCCACTCCGTATGCAAACAATTTATAGGGTGGTAATGACATGGCTGACAAGGAGAGGATAATATCGGGGTGAAAACAGTGAAGAAGTGCTGGGGAGATAATGGCGATGGGGCAGCTGATTGCTATTCGGGGGGGGGGGGTAATCAAGAATCTGTGGAGGGTGTCAGACTTCGTATCTGGTGGGATAGGATGAGGGGGGTCTTAGGTAGGTAGAAATACCTAATTGGGGTGCACTCGGGGGCTTCACTGAGACCTATTAGGGCTGGGAGAGTGAGAGTTTATGCTTTGAGAGTGACTAGATAATTGCTGTATGCCCCTCGGGGCAGGTAATGAAAGCATTGTTTCGCCGCCGGGGGGCGGCGGGTGGAATTAACATCCTCTCGTCGCAACAACACCTCTACTACCCCTACACGCCTCCCGTGAGTCGCTTACAAGAGTGGCCTTCAGCCATAATTGGCGCCACTGTATTCGGGTTAACATCCCCACGTGCCAAAAGCACCCTTACTACATCTCAATGCTCGTTCTCATTGGCCCATGAGAGCGGCGTACGGTCATGACTGGTGTTTGCTGTATTCGGACAAACATCCTCTCGCTCCAAAAGCATTTTTACCACCCTCCCGTGTCCGTTCCCAGCGGCCCAAGAGAGTGGTGTCCGGCCAGATTCGGTATCTGCTGCATTCGGATTGATATCCTCTCTTTCCAGAAGCATCTTTACTATCTTCACATGCCCCTCCATAGCAGCCAACGTGAGTGGTGTCTGGCCAGATTCGGTGTCTGCCGTATTTGGATTGATATCCCCCCGCTTCAAAAGCATCTGTACTACTGCCGTATGCCCCTCTAGAGTAGCCCATAGGAGTGGCGTTTGGCCAAATTCGGCGTCCGCTAGGTTCGGATTAACATCCTTTCGTTCCAAAAGCAGATTCACTACACTCGTATGCCCCTCCATAGCAGCGGAGAAAAGAGTGGCGTTTGGCCAAATTTAGTGTCTGCGATATTCGGATCGATGTTTTTTCGTTCCAAAAGCATCCTTACCACATCCTCATGTCCGTTATCAGCCGCCCACGAGAGCGGTGTTTGGCTAGATTCGGTGTCTGCTGTATTCGGATTAACGTCTTCTTGTTCTAGGAGCACTTGTACCACATCTTCATGCCCCTCCACAACAGCCCACATGAGCGGCGTTCGGTCATATTTGGTGTCTGCCGTATTCGGATTAACGCGGACTTGTTCCAAAAGCACCCTTACGACATCCTCATGCCCCTCCATGACAGCCCATATGAGTGGTGTTCGGTCATATTTGGTGTCTGCTGCATTCGGATTAACATCCTCTCGTTTCAAAAGCACTTTCACGACCTTCTCGTGCCCCCGTATAGCTGCCCATAGGAGGGGTGTTAGACCATACTCGGCGTCTGTCGTCTCGGGATTGACGTCGTCTAGTCCCGAAAGTAGCTCCACGACTTCTTCATGTCCTCTCATAGCTGCCCACGTGAGCCCCGTGTTTCCCATGCTATCAGTTGCATTGACTTTCCATTCCCTGGCCTTTAATAAGACGGCAACAATCTCCACAACCCCATGAAATGCTGCTCCGTGGAGCCCCGTAAATCCCTTTGGGTTATGGCTTCTATAGAAAGCCAGTTCGGAAAGCGTTCTATCTTGTTTATAATGCAATAAAAGCAGCTGAGAGGAGATGTGCTGATCGAACCTATCCAGAAGTTTCACTCCCAGCGATTTTACATTTTCTGTCACACCCCGTCTTGCGTGACTTCCCCAGTAACAGGAAGCGTATTCTAAAAGGGGGGTTGTAGGTGGGGGCGAGCAAAGACTTAGCGAAAGTTCCCGGATGCACCGAAAATTGAGGTAGGTCAAACAGACCTCAGCAATCATCGAATGTGGGCTTTGGAATAGGGTTGTATTGCTAGACAGATACTCCTGCAGAGTATAGTGGAACAGTCTGACGGTGGACGAGGATTTATCAAGCGTGATGAGCCCTAGGGAACACCCTAAGAGTATTTGTATTGCAGGAACCTTTTCAGGATCCACATCCGCAGATCCTATCTCTACTCCTAAGGCATGGCAGAGCTCCCCAGCTTGCAAAACCCGTTCCGAGTTCGATACCCACATCATGGCTTCCAGCCCAAGTCTGGGCCTGCTCCCTGTCTGTGCCTTCATTCGTTCTAGAGTTGTCGCGTAGGCATCCCCCAGACCATTGCCAGTTGTCATCTCTCTCAACTTGCGTCTTCTGTCAAAGATGGTCGCCTCCCCCAGGATAGCGTCAATAGTCAGTGAAACAACGAGGAATCTACGCGCCAATGTTAGTTAAAAAAGGGTCCTGAATATATTTAAGGAGATTGGTATTCCCGCTCACGTTTCGGACACGCTTCTCCGGATCGTACTCAGAATATCTGCCCGTAAAGCATCGTTCATCGCGCGGGGTTCGGGGTCCAGCTCCAACTTCCTTCGTAGGTATTTCCAGATGTCGTTAGGGTTAGGGCTAATGGGTATCGTAACAGCTTTGTTGAAAAATCTCAAAATCTGGTCTTCAACATGAGGCCTCCCGGTCAGGAGCACCCGCACACTGGGTATCTTCTGAATGATCTCCCTCAGGGACACAAGAAGTTCCGGTAGGGTCTTAGACGTAAATTCGTCTAGAGCATCGATACAAATGAAAACTTGAGGTAGCGAGGTAATGGCGACCTTTAGCATTCTGATATGATCCGGAAGCTGAAGGAGTCGACCGCCACACTCACTTTTTGCCCTCAGAAACGCCTCCCGTGTGGATTTCAGGGTTTTGTCGTCTTTGGCCATCAACTGCTTCAGGATGGCTCCCATTATGTTGGCTGTTGTCTGTCTCTGTTCGTGGAAGTCGCAGTAAACTCCTGCGACGGTAATTTCTGTTCCAGCTTGGTCGTACAGTCTATCCATCGCCAGGGAACTAATATTGATTACCGTTAGAGATGCCATCACTATTATGTTCTTCTGGAAAACTCTGCTACCTACTTGATATATGTCTTGCCCACTCCTGGACTCCCGGAGCAAAACAGGACAGCCTTGTCGGCCCCACCCTTCCCGCTCCCTCACTCCCGAAACTCGTTTGTTTCCAGAAGCCAATCCCCGACGCCATCCAGCCGGTCGGCGCGTACACTCTGATGTCTGTTCTGGGGCTCTAGCGGCGAAAGCCACTGCAAAAATTCCGGTCTCTCATCGGTCAGATTGTTAATGATATTGTTAAAACTACCCACCACGTTGCCGCTGTTGGAACTCCAGTCCCCCATATTTACCGAGTTTATGTACTCCCCCCGATCCATGATAATCTGTCCGAATAGCTGGTTGAGTGTAGAGATAACATAAAGGTAAAATATGGCCGGGTGTTAAGAGGCTCTAGAGCTATTACGAGTGGAGCTGAAGGTAAGCGGGGTGATGGGGCTTGCTGTGTCACAGCCCTACTGCATGCTCCAATCATTTCCATGCGCAGGAGCCACCAGCCAGCGCTGCAATGATACCGCAATACTATCGAAAGTAGCGTACTGTACAATAAATCTGCTGCACTGCTAGACACAAATATATTATGAAATGAGGGAAAAAAATCCGGGGGGGTTCCTACTAGTTTTAGTTGCGTTTGCTCCAGGGACGATGGAAAACTATTAGCTCGGAAAACCTCACCACTGATATGTTTGTCACTTTGTCTGAGTAATTCTGCCCCCGGGTAGCCAAGGTGCACGAGGATTCCGAGTGGCTCCCACGCACCTAAACTAGTGTCTAATAAAAAAATTTAAGAAAATAGGAAAAAAGAACTATTTACTACCAGCTCAGCTCCCACTCTTTACTCCACACCCCTCCCTTCGTCACTCCCTCGAGCCCCCTCACCTTCAGAACTTGACTACTCTCTCTCCAGCTCCAATTGTCAAGTTTTGCCTTTCCAAATCTGATTTGATTAGGCTTCTTTGATACTCCCAGGATTGTAACCGAAGATAGCGCTTCGGTGGAGGTCAATTGCCCCTTTCGCGATATGTTGAGGAGGGAGTTTGTTGCTTCAAGCTGGGGGGCTGTTAGCGCTGAATTCAAGCACAGGGGGACTTGCGTGGCAGTCATACAGTTATGAAAGCAGTCTTCTCCTGAACAAGGCTTTCTCCGTCATCAAGGTACAAATCTCCAGATGCATCTCCTTCAGAATCCAATGCGACGAGGACGTCCCAAGGGTTCTTACGAGATTCTGCGGTTGTGTATGCCGGATGCTATTCTCCGGTTAGAACCCGGCCCGGACCTCGGGTAATATTAACAAACCTGCAAAGCCAAAACATTACCCCCCCGAATAAACACCGGAATGTGTCCCAACGGTGCTTTTAAGTCTACCAATTTTCCCTCACTTCCATTTCTGGCCTCGTGCGTGTACCAATCGTACCACTTCTCGTTCTCCCCACCTGGAAACGTAGCATTGGTGTAATTTGCGCTCTGGTCCAACACCGGAGCGACCATGATTGCCGGACCTAGCATAAACTGGCGGTCGATCTCGACAAGCGATTCATCATCTGGAAATTCCCAAGATAGGGCGCGCATGACGGTTGCACCGGCGGTGTGTGCGTGGTGGAAGAGGGTGTATATGTATGGCAGGAGCATGTAGCGAATTGCCATTGCCGTGCGGGAGGCGTCAGCGACAGCTGCCCAGCGATAGGCTTCTTGGGGAATAGCGGAGAGGACATTGTGATTTCGGTAGAAGGGAAACTGCGGGTGTGAGTAAGGGAGCTCTCGAAACAGGCAGGGGGGTGGGGGCTAGGAAGGGCAAGTACGAATGCTGAGAGTTGCATCCAACGGGCACAAAGCTCCATATCAGTGTTTCCGTTGAAACCGCAGGTCTAGATTGAAGTTAGTATTGACCGCAAGGAGGAGGATAGTAGGCACCGACATCGACACCGAACATAGGGATGCCGAACATGGAGAAGCTCAATGCCTGAGGAATTGACAAAGCCATGTAGAACCACTTGCTAGCATTATCACCACCTGTGACTTTCGAATTAGTAAAGCTTATTTCCCCCATATTGGGCCGGGAGTGGCTTACCCCAATGCCCAGCCCAAGCACCAGTTCCAGGGGCAGTAGAGCGACTAATGATGAACGGTCTCTTCCCTCGGAACACCTTCAGCAGAGATTTGTAGGTTGCCTTAGTTTCCAAATGGCCTAAAAGGTTAGCGTATGTCCCCGTATCCTCGTTGCCCGGGGATCCGCTCACCCCATAAATTATGCATATCGTACTCCAAACTTCCGTCCGAATGTGTCGCATTTGGTGAAGCTGCGTGAACCGCTAAATCGTGTCCATTCTGCACATGATTAATAACATACGGCGGGTAATTAATTGCCCTTATATCGACCCCAGGGGTAACTTGGGAAACAAAGGGCATAGCCATAGACATGGGTCCGACAGCAGCAGCCTTGGCGGCATTAGCCGAGTTTCTGGCCTCAATTGCAGCGGTCGCGCTCGTAGCCTCCGTGGCATTGGTATTATTGAAGCCCTCGGGGTAATCCAGAATCAGATTTCCGGGCTCTCCGGGGAGGGAAAATGGAGGGTGTACGGGGTTCTGAGTGATATTCTTGCTACCGCAGCTCCCGACGCAAAATGATGACACTTCGTTCATGTCAAGCCAGATGCCATCGTATTCTACTTCTTTGTGCCATTTTTGGAAGGAGTCTGTCCACCAGTCTTGGGTTCCGGGTGCGGACCAGTCAGGGAAAACGGTGAAACCGGGCCAGACGGCGCCAATGTAAAGACTCCCGTTGGGGTTCTTGAGGTAGGCGTCCGCAGCGATGCCAGCATCGTAGTAAGAGTAAGCGTCCGAGGCATTGTTGGGGTTCGGGATGTAGATTCCGGCATCAAAAATTGGCACAAAGTGTTGACCATTCTCATGGATTTTGTCCAGGAACGCGGAGAAGGCGTTGAGGCTGTATGTTACTGGGTCATTGGTCCAATCGCGGTATCTGCGCTTGTTAGGATTAAATAGGCTACCAAAGGGGTAAGGAAACTGACTGATCCATGTAATCAATATCACTCCAAATTGTTTCCAGGGGGATATTAAAGTCCCTATACGTCTCGACGACACCCTCGAGATCAGACACATTATAGTATCCCCACCGGCACTGATGGAACCCTAGTGTCCAATATTGTTGCATCGCTGGTAATCCCACTGCTTTCACATGATCTGCAATGACGTCCGTAGGAGTGGGTCCGGAGTAAAATGTCAGGTCGACCATTCCACCGATGGTACGCCATGTGAGCGATTTCTCGCGCAAGAGGATATCTTGGCCGTGGAGGTTACGGAGGTATACACCATGAGCATATCCTTTCTTTGAACCATCCTCCAGTGTAGCGTAGCGATGTTCATAGTAGAAAGGATGAGATCCATAAAGATTCTCGTCAAGTGGATCACTGAAGTAACGAGTGAGCAACTAGAACGAGATATAGAGAGAGGCGTAAGAATTATATACTTCACATCTGTTGCATAGAGTGTGCGATTATAGTTATTTCCGAGTCTGATGCTGTGCATGACCTCGCCTAACCCATAAAGGTTGTACTTCTCCGGTAACTCTGTGCGGAATTCAAGAAATTGATTTTCGAAGACCAATTTGTTTCCTTTGGTAGAGAACAGGATATCGCCGGTACTCTTCCTCACAACAGAGAATTCAAATGGCGAACTGTTGAGCTGGAAGCCAAAATGGGAATTTGTTGGGTTGAAATGAACTCCCTTAACCGTCCTTGTTAGATAATCCTCGTTAGTATCGTACCAGGACTCCTGTTCTTCTGGTATCTCGGCCGGCAGGATTCGAACATTGAGCCGAGATTCCGGCCCAAACAATACTCGAAGGTCGAGTTGACTACGGGGGCGTGATTAGCCCGGTTACCGGTCACAAAACTAGCGTGCAATATAGGGGGAATAAAACAAACTCAATGTCAGTCCCATAAACATTGCAATTCGCACCAGACAACACCAAACGAGCACTCAACCCCCCCGGACAGTTCCGAATGTTGATGGCAGTATATCCGGGGCAGAGCCTTTGGGCATCCTTCGCATTGGGGTCTTCTAGATTCGCCAGCAGTTTCCTCCCTTTGTTGACATCACTGGGGAGAGTAGGGATGCTCCTCCAAGAGGTAGAACTAGCGGCAGTGGTAGCAGTGGTAGCACCCTGTGTGGTAGCTGGCCCGGCACAGAGCAAAGTGCTCGCAATAGCAATGGCCACAGCCCTCATAGGGAATGACGGGGATGAAAGAGGTGAGGAGAGTGATGGGAAAGGGGAGGGAGGGGAAGAAGGGGTTCTCTAGCGAGGTTTGTTTCACAGGTAATCACGGACGTTGTTTCGGTTCGACGGCGTAGCGCACTCGTGCTGGACTGTCTGCTGCGCTCGCAATCATCTGGGGTTTGCGAACACGACCTCTATTGTATCCCACTAAAATCTTGAGGTTCCTGGTCGCTAACGCAATGGGCGACAGGAGCAGTGTTCGCAGACGTCAGAAAATTACGGGTGCGGGTACCGTACTGTACCTAGAAATACCATGGCTGGTCAGGCTCTTTTACACCCTGCGCTCTTCCTTGCTGTTATCTCCAGTGCTGTGGCGGGAATGGAGCTCTGGCAGGTTTATACCCAGTGGTGTTGTCTGATATCCCGGGTGAACTGAGACATTGGATGTCGATCTCCCCTGACCCGCGCGATTCTTATCTGCCATCTCGGCAGATAATCCCTTCTGGAAAGGCAAACGGTGTCGCAAGGGGAGAGTAAAGGTCCAACCGCATTATAAAGAGAAAAGTGCCCCCAGTGCCCCCTAGATGCGGTACGAGTAACGGAAGGAAGCACGCTGTAGCACCGGAGTGGTGAGGGTTCCTCGGGTGCTCGCGCCATACCTTTCCCTCTGATAGGTTTGGCATGAACCGGGCGGATATTGGGATTCAGGGACGACGTCGTATGTGCTGTACAGTTACTCTGCAAAGGCAAGTACACGTACAGTGCTCGAGTACACGAGATGCGGTGTCTGGGGGGGCCTCACTGTCCGAGAAACTGCCGTGGCGGGAAGCTAGACTACCCAAAGGAGCATCTGTCCCACAATTCCCACTCACCCGTCCCGAGATTGACCTTCATGAACCCCAACCTATTCATCGCTGAAAACACACATTCCCCCGGGCAACCAAACCTCAGTCTCCGTAAGACCCGATAAATCAAGCCGGGGCACCACCAGCCCAGTCCTAATTCCCATCTCCCAGTGCTTATAGTCTACAGTTAGCACACAGCGCCTTAGGCATCGCGTTAATGAGTCGTGGCTACGGGATTGACACGTGCCAAAAACTCGTATATCTCCTGCAGTGCCAAGAGGAGTATCATGGACAGTCTTGCCAATGGTGCAGTAACCAATCCGCCCAGCGCGACCGTAGCGACAATACCCATGCCACGACTGCTGCCCTGATAGGCTACTCGAGTACCGCACCGGCAATCCGTTGCTTGTGTGCAAATACTTTGTAATACCGTACTGTAGTCCCCCGCGGGGAAAGTTTTTTGCCCTATTTCGTTGCCTTCCTTTTGTCCAAACCTAGACCCTGCAAGCCACTGCCATTATTCCCTGACTTCGTCCGAGCGGTAGATAAGCTCCCATGTACTCCGGTATGGACGTGGGTGACCGGACAGCCGGGATTCTAGAGGCCTGACTGTTCTTGCCCTCATAAGAAATAAAAGAGTGAGTCTGGCATGAGAATTGCTCGAAAAAGCAAGAAGCTTTGACACCTCTAATCCCTGGCTGTCTGGTCACCCACGTCCCTACCCGAGTACGAGTACCGTACTACGAGTAAGTTGCGGATACCACCCAGACCGAAACTGCGATAAGCCGCCAGAACCCAACATCTGACACAGACCCCCCCCCCAAAAAAACTCCTGCGGATAACCCCCTAGGCCGCTAGGATACCCTTCCCCACTCTGATAGGAGAATATTGGTGAGCTTGGGATGAGGAATAGAAAGACAACCGGTCCGGTTGCCATAATTCATCCAAGTCAATCGCTGGAAGGTCGCTTATTTTGGTTTGACTTTGTTTCCGGAAACTCTGAGTGAGGGGTCTCCTAGGACGGGGAAGGAAGGTTCACGAGATTTTTTGGTTCTTCCGCACGGATGGGCGGATCTTATGGGTGTTTAATACTGGTAGTGTAGCTCGTATCATACTGGTAGTGTAGCTCGTATCATACTGTCAGGTACAGCATCTCCCGGGAATGGTCCTTCGCACCTGAATACTCTAGCGTTGAAGCAACGGAGGATAGTGAGGTTCTAGAAGCTCTCCTTTATTGTGCTGTGCTGTATCTGCCATTCGAGAGCTTCGAATTTCACACATGAATAATAATACCGCTGTGTTTTGCCAGTTAGAAGCCGACTCCAAGAATTGTCGATCAACGCTAGAAAAAAAGTTCCGTTTTGCCAAGAAAGTCCACGGTGTTCTGGCTGTCGAATTGGGCCTTTGAACCTCCCTAGTTCTGCAGTATATTTTAACTGCTGAAGCTCTGCATATGCTGGGATGAGCGTGGGGTTGTGATAAATCCTAGTCAAGTTAAGCGCAGCGCCACGATTTTGGGTGTACGAGTGCGGCCGATAGATATATTCGTCACGTGAGTCTGATAAGAAAGCTCCGGTGAACCTTTTGGGTGCGATTTGTCCTTAGATAAGGCACGTGACGAATATATTTATCGGCCGCACTCGTAATGGCAAGGTCCGAGATTGGGAGTGCCTTAAGCTATCGGGTGCTTCCTCCGGTCGACTTTGCAAAGTTGGTTAGTGCCCAGAGGGGAAGTATTATTGGGGCTACGAGCCTTGGCGGTAGTGTAGGGGAGGGCTGGGAAGATAGGAGGATTTCTAGGTGGTGAAGAGCACTCGATAGGTCATTTCATGAAACTAGGGGCTTGGTATTGAGCCCTTTGGCTGTGTAATCTTCCATCTCGGCAACAGAGGCCTCAGCAGTGGGGCTTCTGATATCGTCGATTAGGCAGGTTGAGGGCAGGAGCCTTACAAGGCTAGTAGTCCTGAGGAAGATTTCTTCTGCTACTTGTCTACCTTCCTAGGAACAACCACCACCGCCTTCAATTCCGCCAAAATACCTAGGCCAAACATTGATATCAATGGTACGAGCAACACACTCTCCACTGTCTCCTCAATCCCCCTCCCTTACCTTCCTAGCACATCGACTATTACGAACCCCACTGCCCACACCATCATCACATCCTCTGAACCCAAACCCTCCCGCAGTTCTGCGCAGACTTTAGAAAAGTACTCCACCGCATTACCGAGCAGGGGACAGCGAATACGTTCTCGGAATCTTTGCTCAGAGCCTCAATGGACAAATTTGGAGGTATCGAGGAGGAAGGATTCATGAGAGGGTCGGTCGACAGGAACAGCTCACTCATCTGACGGAGAGTGTTATGATGTGTGAACCAGATGAGGGAGACCATTGGAGCGTCTGAACCGGACGGGGGAGAGCGTCTTCGCCAGGCGAGGTCGCAAGAATCAGGATGTTTATGGAGTGAATTGGTCGAGCAGGAGCCGGAGTAATTGTGGTGTTCCCGTTCTAGAAAAGAAGACATTAGTATTTAGTGGTTAGCTGTGAAGACTGGATTGGGAAGTACCGGTCCGAGTCAATCGAGATCCGAAACTTCTCTCCCATTTTCCCCCATTTTCCCCCATCCGTTTTTGGGATGGAATACCATTTCGGCACACACGGTGATGCCCTGCACAAAAGCCCGTTCGCCTGTCCTTTGGAGCAAATATCCCTCGCCCGCGACATGCTCTCCACTGCATAACTCCACGAATGTCGTAATAACAGGTCGCAGGAACTCCGCACCCTTCCAGTTTCGCACCTTCTCGCTCCTCGCCCTCAGCAGTCCCATTACCACCCAAGGCAATGTAGAATTCCTCGTCCGTTGTTCGGTTGGAATCCCAACACCTTGAGCCAAGGGCGGGTATATCCCTTCCAGCATGACCAGGTCGAGCACACATACCGGCATTCTCACTTAAACCTCTACAGGACTGACTAACTATGTGGCGGTCCGCTCCGTGTTTGTCTCCATTTGAGCTTCACATTTGAAATTTGCAAGGAGGGTGAGCATGTGAGTTACGACTGACGCTGCAGTGGATCTTTCATCCTCGGGTAATGGTGGCAGTGCCGGGGGTTTGCGAGAAGGTTGTTGCAGGAGTGATTGGCCGTGCAGTTTTGGCATCGATAGGGTTAAGGTTAGCAGCAAGGTGATGTTGAGGGTTAGTGATCAGTTAGGAGACACACTTACTCTAGTTGAGAACAGGGGAGAGCAATCGTGTTGCTTGGCCTATCACCGGTGAAGCCATATGAATATTCCCGGGCAGAGCGTGAAGAAGGTCAAAGATGGAAGAATGAAAGGTGGGACGGCAAAGTCCCATGACTTTTCGAAAATACGCTTCAACTATAGCATAGTTATCCTCCTCTCTAGAAAAAACCTATTTCCGGTGCAGGACATTGTCCAACCAGTTGCGATCACCGCACTGTAATCATCATCTACGAGTACGCTTATCCTCACACGTATCCTCATGACGCAACGTAGTCAGCCACCTTTTCAAAGGCCATAAAAGCTGTCCTTCTCTCTCTCTTGTTTCCTCTAAAACTTCATTATTCTGCGTCGGAGATTCCCCTTGTTTTTCATGCCGCCTGTGTTCTCCCAAAGATTCATTGTCAGTTGATAACTTTCGCTATTGGTAAGAAGGCCAAGGGTCTTAACCTGCCTGCTCCATGATTTCTCTGGGTTGAATTTACTTATCAAGCTGTTCTTTCTCCGAACGGACTGGGTTATGCAGTTTCGATTACGCTCCTTTCTCTGCTCGCTTCCTCCCTTTAAGGGGTTTCCTCTGAAGAGGGCTTTCTCCGCTGATTGCTACACTGGAACATCAATCAGAATGGTATACTTACCACAAAACCCTTAAAATTCAGTGCTAATACTAACTAGTTACACACCTTCCAGAAGACACCTGCAATTGTCTATACGGAGGTTCAGGAAAGCCCCTGTCGAAAAGGCAATTTGGCAACAGCGAAGCAACTCTTGGCAGCCGCAGTTCCCACTGTATCCCGTGCCCAAGTCGGGTCACCTCGCGCTCTGCGGAGAGGTGAATGAAGCTAGGAGGTCACTTCTGGCGTCCTTTCTGAAGATGGAAGGTGAAGTCGAAAGTTAAGGAAGGAGATAAAGCAGTCACCGCGGGAGACGCGGCAGCTACGCAAGCGGGTCACATTCCTGCGACCTCTTAAGAGTGCGGCAATCGATATCCGGCGACGGTTCTTTGCTGTATTCCAGCGCAGGGAGCGGCTATGGGGAGTTGGGAAGCACTCCGCAATTCGCGAAGGAAATGAAATTGCTCACGCTAGTGACGTGCTCACAGATGTATTCCTACCGTAAAAACTCGAATAATTGGGCCTCGTGCTAAGAGGTTAAAATAAGGTGCCCAAACTAGTAGTTTTCGTGAATTATCAAACAATGGTCTAGTCTAAAGAAGGAAAATATTGGACCATGGGGTTGTTTGATAATCAATAAAAGCTACTGATGTGGACATGATTTCCAGATTTACGCAATTTCTGTTTTTCCCCACCTTATTTTAACCTCTTAGCACGAGGTCCAATTATTCCAGTTTACATGGCATTCCAAACGGTCATATCACCTGGAAAAAAAAAAACCTTTACTCATGCTTCCGAGGTTATAATAGGCCACATGATTAGAGAGTGGCAATAAGAAGGAAGCGTTGTGCTGAAGAAAAACTTGGTTTAGAACAACTAAAATCAATTAAGCTTAACCATTATAGTTATTACCACCCCCTTTCTCCAAGCTAAGTCTAAGATTATAGTGAAAGTTATGGACTACCTATCTGCAAGGTCTTGAGGAATGTAATACTATTCTTCAATGAGGGGTTGCTTTACTCCCTCAAGTACAACTTCACTCCATTCTCTCAACTTATCATAATGGTTGAATATATATCTTTAACATATCTCTATACTTGTTCTGACATATTAAGACTGGAAAATTTGGAGGAGTATTGCAATGATGAACTCTATTCAAATCAGCCTTCTCTTGATCTCTCTTTTGGTAGTCTTTATATGTCTTTTTGCATTGTCTTTTTACAGCCATATTGTAGTCATAATCCTTCTAGTTTTCTCCTAAATACATTAAACACATGGATAAAAATACTTACAAAGTACTTCCTTTTGGTATAACTATCAGTCCATCCCATCTTCCATGCTCCTCTCTCCAACCTACTTGAAAACCTACTCTGGATATTGTAGCAGTTAGAGTAGCTTATTAGGTAACTGGTTTTGATTAGAGAAAGAAATATTAGTGGTGTTTTTCTTGGAAAGCCTAAATTCCTCAGCTCCTAGTATATAAGCATTTGCACAAAAGCATTCTTTGTATTTTCAGTTTCATTTGTTTTCTTAATACAGCTTTTGATATAATAGGAGCTCTCTTAGAAAGATAGATACTAACGTAATTTACGGTGCAACGGCTCTTCACCCAGATGCTGTTAAGAATCCTACCGAGTAGGACCTAGCGACAGGTAACAATACTTCTCTCGGAGGTGATAGTTCTTAGACCTATGTCTACGCGATCCCGATAGTCCAGTCCTATGACTACTATCATATTCGCGCCTATCTCCTTATCCTTCTTCTTAATCCTTACTCAGGACTTAGTCGTTCGACGTGGGAGGAGAAATAGTTTTCTCGCTTGGGAGGAAAGACAATTCTCGGGTTTCTTAAGATAAATCTTAAAGAGCGTAAAGGTAGGTTTTATTGATAATAACTTAAAGGTAGGAAATAAACAAGAAGAACGTGTGAAGAGCTCATACTTGGGGTCCTAGTGACCCTTTATATATTCGCTCTTCACCTGGCGTGACTCACACCTCGCGTCACGCAAACCCTTTGACTCATAACTATGAGTCATATGAAATCCATCAGACGACTCCTATGAGTCACTGCGCAACATGCCTAAACCAATCAAAACATAATAACCAAATCAGGTGTGCAACTCGCATCACCTGAGTGAAACCCATGACTCATAATTATGAGTCATGTGCGAAAATCATAACATCGTGTGACTCATAACTGTGAGTCACGAACAAGTAAACATAATAACCTATGGCGCACTAATGTGCGTCATGTGAAATCCCCACATACCTATAACTTGGAAGTCCGAGCTATGTGAAATCTGCCTTGCTTAGTCACAGTTTGTGACAGATGCGGCTCACCATGGCAACCACTGGAAAGCCAAATGTGTATTTGATTATCAACAGAAATAATGATGATACCATATTGAAAATTTGTTAAAAAGTACTTTTAAATATGGAGAACCAGAATCTGGAGTTTTTATTTGATAATAAAGAATGATTCTTCTTGTATACTCAGTTTATTCTAAAGTGGCTCAAATATCATCTGGTTAGAATAGTGAGTTAGGAAAATTAGAAATCCTTGCAAAAATACCACTTTAAGTAAATTGTATGATCTTCTAGGTCTTGTATTTGATGTTTTAAGTGTATTGGGATTTGCTTGTAGCTATTTTGGGGGCTATTGAGACTAAATAAAGGACTAAAGCTAAAAATGTATCTTATAAACAGAAATAGATGATATTTACTTATAAGATTTATGTAATGTTACAATAATTTTTATTATACTTCACTAACATGATGTAAGATCTTATATAGGTTCTCAAGGCAGTAGGTTGAGTTCTGTAAATTTTATTCCCTCAATATTAAAAAGTAACTTAGAGAGAAATACTACCTTCAAGCCTCAACTGAGTAGGCTATATTACTAGGATAAGGCCCAAAGTAGTGCTTTCTAGTCTTCTCATATTCTTAGAGTTATTGAAAAAGTTTGAGTATGTTTAGACAATAGGACTTAGAGATATTAAGCTTCAACTGCAATAATATGATATTTTAACATAGATTTGCTGCTGTTATCTATAGAACCTGGACAACTTATCCAGAATTCTAGAAACTTGGTATCATAAGTTAAGTAGTTGTACAGAAGAATATTAGAAAGAATCAAATTTATATCTGATCTGTGTAAATAGATATGGGGTAGAAAAAATGATATATTTTGTATGTAGTTTTTCTTCTCTCTTTCAGTTACTATAACATGCCAATTGGCTTATAGATTACCAGAAAGCTATATTATTCTAAGCATATCAAGCCCAAATAATTACTCTATTAGGTTATAAATGTCCTTCTATTTATATTTGAATTTTCACACAAGCTGTTATAGTGTAATCTTGTTTAAAACAACTATTCTTAAAACCACTATACCAACAGTTATTTTGCTTATTAATAAATCAAAACTACATACTCTGATTCTCCATATTTAAAAGTACTTTCTAACCAATTTCTATAGTGGTGGCATCATTATTTATGTCAATAATCAAGTATATATTAGGTTTTCCAGTGGTTGCCATGGTGAGCCGCACCCTGGTCATGAGCTGCATCCCCGTAAATTATGTTAAAAATGTAACTACATAAAACTTCAGACTTCATACACATAGTTTTTATAAGTGTAAAAGAATAAAGTAATATTATGAACTGTGACTAGACAAGGCAGATTGTACATGGCTCAGGATTTTGAGCTATAGATAGGTTGAGTTTTCATATAACTAGCAATAGCGAGTCATAGATTATTATGTTTATCTGCTCATAACTCACAGTTGTGAGTTACACAATGTTATTATTTTTACACATATCTCAGATTATAAGTCATGGGTTTTACTCAGGTAATACAAGTTGTGTACCTGACTTAGTTATTAAAGTTTAATTAGTTTAAGGGCCTGTTTGGCAACTTGAATGACTGTGTTAAGAATCCTACCGGGCGCGGGGGTGTGACAGGCAATGATTCTTATCTTCAGGGTGAGGTAATAGTTCTTGGGCCATTGCCTACGTGATATCGATAGTCAAGTCCTTTGACCTCTATCTTATAGTGCCTATTCCTCTCTTCTTCTTAAGCCCTCGCTTAAGA